GAGAAGAGAAGCATTCAGGGTAGAAAGAGTCCATGCTGCCAGATAGTCTGAGAAAGGCATTTAATGACCCCCTGATCCAGAAGTGGAAGAAAATATCTGTTATTTAAAACATATCTGTGATGTGATGCTAATAACCCCAACCCTATTTTTTCTACACAAACCCAGATGATGCCTTTTACTTTATAATACACACACTGAAGAAACCAAGTCTGAAGCCTGCCTGTATGAAGTACCTTATCAATTCAAAAACTCTCTGACACTCTAACTTTGTTATTACAACAATACGATAACTTTTCTTATCTGGAATACCAAAGATTTGTCCAAGGTTATGCTAATGGATCTACTCTGAAAAAAGCTCTTGAAATATTCTTGGCTTATGTAGTGGATTCATCATCAAAAAGACAATTATCTTCCATTATGAATCCCAAACGTCCAAATAACCGATTCTTTAAGAACTATTTTCTATTTCAAGTATTGCTTTGTCATCAGAGCAGAATCTCTGGGTACTATTCTCCTTACGTCAAAGAGTAGTTTGGCATGATGTAATTCAGTTCATAAATATGCAAAAGTAATCCGAATTAAGTTTTAGTGTTTTCTTTGATTTAAATTTCAGTTTTTAATTTTTCTGCATTATGTGCTCATAATTTAAGTGATTGAACTATAATGTTTTGAATAATTACATACTTTACATTCATATTTTAGCTGTCGGCTGTTTTCTTAGAAAACAGTTTTGAAAGATGTTTTCTGATAACAGATTTGACTATGGGATGTAAATGTACTGCAATCCTGAAAACCAACTACAAAATTTCTACTGTCATCAGTCCCAGCAGGCTTCAGCCATTCCCATGTGTAAACAGACAGCAATTCTTAACATGGCTTTGAAAAATAGTTTTTCACTTATTGCTAAGTGTTCCACGTCACTCGTTACAGAAAGGGAGAAGTGAGTAGCTATACTGGATAAACTGAAGCTACATACATAGGTGTGTCCAGCTTAATTGCATGCTGCTAGATAAACTATCAGCAAAGCTCCAAAGACAGGTACAAATAAGCCATCCTCTGGCAATAGCAGGAGACAAAGCCAAGCAGTGAACTGTAAAGACTGTATTCATTGATTCTAGCCCAAAGGCTCCAAAACCTGTTTTTAGGTTGGAACCTAACGATCAAAAAGTTCATTGAATGGCTGAAATTGTAAAGTGCAACTGAATATCTGAAAAGTGACTTTTGGGGAGCGCAGGCTAGATGTTTGGATGTCAAGGCATCAACAATTTTGTTTGTACAAAGCAGGTGTTCAGCAAACAGGAAGGACGGTCTGACTACGTGGAGCAAATTACACGTGTAACTGTGGTAAATCAGGCAGGCATGGAGGTTCAAGTCCTCCCCTCTGCGGAGTGCTGCACTCCCAATGGTTGTGATAAGCAGTTCACGTTGCTTATTCGGTTCATTCGAGTGCTTGGTGCAGCAGAGGGTGGAACTGGGAGTGAAGGCACGTGTAGGTAAGAAGAACAAGCACAGATTGAGAGAGGACCCCATATTGGAGCTAGAAGCCAAAGCCTCATTTTCTCAACAAATTGGCAAAGTGATTAAAATGCCAGCAAATGGTATAATCTGTAACATACTGCTTTGGTTCTTTAACTTGGATGTGAGCTGCACCTGAGTCCTTGAGTTGGCATACTATTACCTCGAGTCTAACTTATTGCTCTAGTGTTTGCAAGGACAAATCCTGATTCAGTATTCCTAGAGGGAAGTCGATGTCCTTTAATCAAAAGAGTACAGCTGGGAAATACAAAGCACAGCAGCAGCACAAAGTACACAGTACTACTTTCTTATCACAACCAGTCCTTTACTTTACTTCTTGCAGAAACAACATTCAGATGATAGTAAAGAGAACAATGTAAAAAAGCTGAGTACTATATATAGAGAATTCATCTGCTTTTATTCCACATTGTTTTACTTCTAGAATGAAAAAAGAATCCGTCTTTGCAGAGGAAATTCATTCTAAGCTCAAAAAATTATTTTAATTTTAGAAAACATAATTCTTTCCTTGAATCAGAAAGATATAATGAAATGGCACATTGCATTAAGTGTCTAAGTGCTTGTTGCCTAGTACGATACGCAAGGAATGATGGCAGTGCCTCATACTACAGTAGGAAGTGCTTGCTAATGCAAATGGGCAGGAAGGCGATACCTCCTAAGGCCCTGCTCGTGTGGAGGTGTCAGTGTGCACAGACCCTTCATGCCCCCAAGACTCTGCTCAGGCACAACAGTCTATACGTCTGGCCACGGCACTGGGAATTAATGATTACACATCTGGGCGTACAGAAAGTCTCTTAAGGATTGACCAGGACCTACCCAACCTCAGTGGGGCTTACTTATTAACAAATAAACAAACAGAGAGCTGGAATTACCAGAACGGACTGCAGATATTGCTTCTGGTCCTCCTGAGCAGTCACTCCTGCCTGCCTGTGGAAGGGTGGATGGGGAGAGGGGCATTTGCTCCAGGCTCTGACTCTCTGAAGTAAGAAATCTATCTCATGATCTGTCAGTTCACTGATTTCTCTGAATGTTGTGCAAACAAAGTATTAGATGGTGCATTTTTCACATAACTTAACATTACAGGAAATCTGTATTTCCCAAGCCACAGGTTGTTCACCAGTCAAAATGCTGCAGAGCACTGGATAAACTCCCACCAAGGTTGGATCTCAACTCACTTAACAAAGTAATCATTATTAGTATGAGTACATGATTAGGCTGCCTTTCTGCTTCTACTGATCTATATTCCCAGCTACACAACCATAACTGCACAAAGCAACCATTTTCTACCTTCAACAATAAGTGCATGTGTGTGCCTCTCACAAGGATCACATCATTGGGTTGAAATCTATCAAAGCCTCTTTCTTTAGATAATTGAAGTAATGGATGTATACCAGGACAATACAGTAAACATACTACAAAACAAGAGATGCTGTTTTTTTGGTTTTTTTTTTGGTTTTTTTTTTTTTTGTCATAGCAACTGTTTAATAGAAACCTATGTTTGTAACTTCTACAGTATGAGCATTTGCTGATGAACACAACTTTTTCTTACTGCTGCAGAGCATTTTTTTTAGTCAAAGAATGGTGAATCTTCAGAAGGGGATCAAAAGGGATACATTTTAATTAACTTCATTTGCATGTTCCTAAATAACATTATAGGTAGCAGTCAAAGAAAACAGCCATAATGGCAATGACAGCAATAGTAGGGATAGTTGGTTATTGTGCTGCTGGAGAGTTTTGCAAGGACTTTCTGTTTCATGAGAGCCTTCTCTGAATACAGAACAGCTACACAAATACAGGCCTGATTCTGGACAAGTGGTCCCACTGAGTTTGCATGTCTCAAAATAGGAAGAGGCTGATGGACAAGACATAGGGGCCCAATCAGATGTGACACCAGATGCCTCATGCTATTGTTAGTATTTGTACTACCATTGTATTGGGCTGTTTCTTGTGCTAGGGAACAAAGCAGAATGGCAGTATTTATACAAAAACCATCAAATGTAAAGGGCAACAGATGTCAAAGAGGGAACAGAATACAAGGACAGGAGATGTTACTGGTCAGTATGACAAGCAGCGATCAAAGAGCTTTCAAGATTTTGAAAGGCATTACTGCAAAGCTGAGATTTAAGGACGGGTTTGAAGAATACTGTGCTCATTATTTACTGCTGAGCATCCCCAGCATTATCACTACTTGCATAACGTAGATTGTTTATGGGAACAGAGTTTAGGACCAGTAGGTATAACGAAACAGGTTCATTTTGGCAAACGATTGCTTGGTGTGCAAAGATCTGTTACATTAGCACAGGAGCTCAGAAGGGTGGTGCACACACTGTGGTGCTGACTGAGAGGTGTGATTCAACCTGGAAATGCACTGTGTATCCTACAAACCCAGGAGGCACTGGAGTTTCCATGCAGGAGAAAGTCAACAGGGCACATGCACCATAATTTGCAACACATCCCATGCTGGAGCTAATTCACCTAGTGAGTCACACCTGCTCACATTAATAAAACAAAACAAAACAGTCTTCCTATGTCTTATTGGCAGGAAGGCATGAAAACTGGCTAGGCTGGCTGGGAACCAACCAGGCAGCAACACTTGTTAGCACATTTTTTAAATAAGGTGAGTGAGTTTTGTATCTGTGTCTGAGGACGAGGACACGAGCAGGTTCTGTGCTATGGCAGATAGCCCTCTATGTTGAACTTTGCAAAGTGCTTTGGTGATTTCACACACACAAAAAAAGTCAAAAATCATATCTTACTTTCTTTCAAAAGTATCAATTTATGTAGAACCGAAAGAGTCTTGAAGTTTGCTGATGATGTAGTGAAGTCTCTTCTTCTTGAAGAAGAATGGCAGATCACTACGGAAATGTGAGAGGTGGAATTTGTTATATTTTACACAGAATGTGATATCATTTAAGCCTCAGGGATCCATTTGCATTTGCTTTATTCTCAAAATATACACAATTCTGTAGAATCTCCTGAACCCTGCAAATTACCTTATGAAAAGAGAACCCCCCTGCTATTCACAACACAGAAAAACGGGACATTAACCTCACATAAAACCCACTGGCTTGCATCTTGCTCCCTCATTAAGTCTGTGCCAATTTTGGAGCAGATTTCAAAGGTGCAAGCTCACTGTTTTTTTGTGTCGTTCTTTTTTTCATTCAGTGATCAATCCGTGAAATAATACTTAAAAGAAAATTCCTTAAAAGCTACAGTTCCCTTTTCAAAGCTATCCTCAGCAGCTACATACTTTGGGCCATTTTCTCATCATATCTGAAGACCAAGACAATTTTTGGGGGGCAATCTGAAGCCTTTACTACAAGAAAGCAAGCAAGTATTACTCATTTGATTGTTTTCCCACAATGTATTTTTACGGGAGAGTTGTGGGAACCATATTATATATTCAATGGACAACTTCTGTGGTGCAAAGTGTCTCTTTTTGGTATTCAAATAACCACGAAAGCAATGTAGCTGTATCTCATTGCCATGGACATTACCACCTAAACCAACCAGAATGAAAAAAAGGTCATTTCTTACCTCATCCATTGTGAAAGACACAGACTTATGAGATAACATTTGGCAGTCCCGTGACCAATGATAATAAAAAATCTCTTTCCCTTGGGCATCTAAGTACCACAGAATATTGTAACACTTCCAGTTCTTAAAGAGCATTGAACCGCATTGTGCTGGCCTGCATACCTTTATGAAAGAAAAAAAAAAAAGAAGAAAAAAGAAGAAAAAGATCAGTTTTCAGATTTCATAGAATCACAGAATGGCCTGAGTTGAAAAGGACCACAATGCTCATCCAGTTTCAACCCCCTGCTATGTGCAGGTCGCCAACCAGCAGACCAGGCTGCCCAGAGCCACATCCAGCCTGGCCTTGAATGCCTGCAGGGATGGGGCATCCACAGCCTCCTTGGGCAACCTGTTCCAGTGCCTCACCACTTTCTGAGTGAAAAACTTCCTCCTAATATCCAACCTAAACCTCCCCTGTCTCAGTTAGATTTGTAAGAAGTATTTGTATATCATATGTAAGGCACTGGATGAGAAAGAACTGGGTGGAAAGCAAAAGAACCAAGGACTGTCTTAGCCTCTTCATAGCTGTTTTTTCTGCCTTGCTGCGACTACCTACACAACTACTGCTTTAACAGCATGCCTGCTTCAGCTATTGAAATGGAACTTTCTACTTTCATCCTTCTAGTACCCCATCGCGCTCTTAAAACGTACCCTTAACAATAGTAGAAATGAAATACAACACATTCAGCATGTTTCCCTTTTTGCCGAGTACTTTACTTGAGAAATGCACTGTCTTGTGAGCAAGAAAAAGCCAAGGAACCACGAGACCACGCTCAGAAATCCCAAACACAAAAGGGGTGTAAGGTTTCAGATCACACATCATAAACACAGGTACCAACATTTCAGCGTGGGCATAAAACACCCGGGAGTTTAAACGGCTCCAAAGAGACGTCCCAGGTATGAAAGCACAACGCAACAGTGAGGTCTGCAGTTGAATGGGAAGGTCAAACGCAATTGGTTTTTTCTGCTTTTTTTTTGGCGTGCCCCTTTTCCAGCACCACAGCTGAGCTCCTGAGGGCTGGAGGCAGTACTCAGAGCTGCGAACGGGACCGCGGGCTTCGTTGCGAGGACGGGAGAGCCCGCTTCCAGCCCGGCGCCGGGCAGGACTCGCTGTGAGGGCGCGGCGCGGAGGCAGCCGTGCCCGAGGAGCGGCTCCGGGTACCGCTCCCCGCCCGCCTCCCCTCAGCGCCCAGCGGGCTCCTCGATCCGCGCTTGGGGTAACGGCGTTCCAGAAAAAGGAGGGCGGCCGCAGCCGTCCCGCCCGAGCCGTCAAAGCCGCCACCCATCTTTGTTGCGGGCAAACCCCGCGGCCCGCCGATGCGGCTTTGGTGTTCCGGCGTGTGCCCGCTTCCAAAATGGCCGCCGAGCGGACCCTTTTTCTCTGACACGGGACGCGGCGAAGAGGGGGCGGGCGGGGAGGAAATAGCAGCCGAGCCTCGCGCCGGAGAGGCGGGGGCAAGGGGAGCGGCGCGGGGAGCGGCGGCGAGCGCCCTCGGAGCTCCGCGCTGAGCACAGGGGCCGAGCCGGAAGCCGCCGGCGCTGCGCGTCGGGAGAGGCGGGCAGGGGCCGTGCGAGCGGGCGTGCGAGGCGGCGGCGAGGGACGGAGGAGGCGGCGCCGGGAGCGCGGAGCCGAGCCGTTAAGCGCGTCCGGCCGCCTGCGCGCGTAGGCGCCGTGTGGAAGAGCCGCGGCCCCTCGGCGGGATCGGCGTAGAGGGCGGCGGGGCGAAGGAGAAGGACGACGACGAGGAGGAGGAGGAGGCAGCTCGGTCCGCGCCGCCGCGGCGGAGGGAGGGCAGCGAGCCGCAGCCCAGCGCCTGCAGCGCACCGCCGGCGCCATGGGTGAGTCTCCAGCCCGGGGCCGAGGCGCGGGGCCGTGACAGCGCGAGGCGGCCGGGAGCGGAGCGGAGCGGTGCGGCCCCACCGCGGGGCCCCCGGCCCGGCGCCCCCCGCCCTCCGCCGCCTCAGAACTGGCTTCGGCCCCGCGCCGCCGCCCGCGCTCCCCTCCTCCACGCGCTCACTTCCTGCCCGGCCGAAATTGTATAATGTATTAATGGGGCTGCGCGAGAAAGCGAAAATGCCGGAGAGCTTCTGCTCCCTCCTTTCTCTCTCGCTTTTTTCTTGTTTTTTTCTTTTCTTTTTTTTCTTTCTTTCTTTTTTTATTTTTTTTTTTCCTTTTTCTTTTTCCCTCCTCTCTACCCACCCTCCCCGCGTCCCTCCTCCCCTTTTCTCCTTTTGCGCCCAAATTTGGGAGGGAGGAATTCGCTGCAGGAATTAAAGCAGCGCTGAAATATGCAGGAGAGGAGCGGGTGGGACCGATACCGCCTCGCCGCGAGGAGGAGGAGGAAGAAGAAGAAGAGGAAGGGCCGCATGCGGACGGATGCGCGGGACGAACCCGCCGCCCGCCGCTTCCCCTCGCCCTGCCCGGCTCCCGCTGCCTCTCGGCTTCGTGCAGCCGCCCTCCCGCTGGGGCTCGGGCTGAGCGAGGCCTCCGGAGCCCGCTGGGTTTCCCCCGTAACGCCGCCCTGCTCCGTGGCGGTGGGAGAGGGCGGCATGGGGAAGGCGGCCCTACTCGTTTCAACGCGGTGCTCTCGGCTTCCGAAGGAGCGGTTGGGTACAGATGTGATTCTGTGGCACGGCAGCGTTCAAGAATCTTCTGCACGCAGTTGGTGTGCCACCTCCTGCTGACGAAACGCGGGTAGCAGGAGGTTGTCAGGAGAGGCTGCTTGGATGGCCAAAGGAATCCCTTTTGCTCAATGCTGGCTTGCACGTGCTTCCACGTGCAGAAATACTGACCGTCTGTGTTAATACTGAGACCTAAAAGAAAATCAGCTTGAGCGTGTGCAGCTTCAGCTCCCTGGAAAGTTAATGGGTCATAGCTTCAGATCTTAACTGTAAAGCAGACCATGCCTTTTCATGCAGGTTTGGTGGTTTTTCTTTTTTCTTTTTCTTTTTTTTTGGTAGCAGCACCTTTTCAGTGTTACCATAGATTCATAGAATGGCTCTGTTCGGAAGGATCATTTGTTTCCAACCCATCTGCTGTGGGCAGGATTACTACTCACTAGATCTTGTGAGATAGGCTGCTTGGGGCCCCATCCAACCTGGCCTTGAACACCCGCAGAGATGGGGCATCCACAGCTTCTCTGGGCAACCTATGCCAGCGCTTCACCACCCTCTCTAGTAAAGATGTTTTTCCGAACATCTAGCCTAAATCTCTCCTCTTATAGTTTAATCCATTCCCCCTTGTCCTATCCCTATCAGGAGGTGTAAAAAGTCGCTCTTCTTCTTGCTTATAAGTTCCCTTCAAGTACTTAATTTCTGACTTCCAGTCAAAATAACATCACCTTACCGGCTGAAAGGTTGGCAAACTTGAGAAAATGCAGTTTTGTGTATCAGTAGACATCTTCCATTTGATGGCGGCCCAGTTTGCAGTGCTTGCCGTTCTGTGAGATTACCAGCAGCTCTGCCTGGTGAACATAGAAATGTTATTTCCTTCTGGTTTCAGGTGGCAGTTTTTTTTTCTTGTAGCTGACATGTGAATAGCAGGGACCAATAACTAGAATATTTCCTTAGGAGGGCAGTTTTCAAAAAGACATTGCTTTAAGGGTTGATAACTGCATGGACCATGCAGAAATTGGAATTGAAATGCAGGCACATCCCCTGCTCCTCACTGATTGCTGCTGAGGAGAAAGGCTCACTCCGTAGTCATAGTGAAATTGAAGGAGATGTACTGAAGCAGTAGCAGTTTGTGTGTTGATAATAACTCAGAGCATTTCCTTTGGTTGACCCACAAGGACAAGTGACTTGTCACAGCTAAAATGGTGCTGTGGATGTATACTCAATATGACAAACAATTGTCTGTATGTATGGCTAAGAGATTGTTGTTTGTCTTAAGCAGAGATAAAGGATCAGATTTAGAATCTCTGTCAGCAAAAGCACAATAGATTTTGCTTTGTTTTGTTTTTCATGAGAAGTGTGTCTAAACATAGACAGCAGTTGTCTCTTTCCTTTTTTCCTTAACTGGTAGTATCTTCATTGCTCTCTTTCAATGGGCCAGGCTGCTTAAACTCTTTAGTTTTCAGTAAGTTCCTCAGTGCTTGTTGTTCTTGTTCTTTCAGTGCCACCTTAATGTGTGCATTAAGACAACAAATAGTTACAAAACAAAACGGCTGAAGATCCATAACCACATTTTAAGGACAGTCAGCGATGGAAAATGTACCTTGGAGAGGGTGTAGGGGAGAGGCTTCTTCTCAGAGCTGTGTTGTGAGGTTCATCTTTAGCATTAACATGTTGCCAGACTGTTCACTTAACCTGTCTAGACCAGGAATGGGTATGTATGAGTGATGTTCTGTTTGCTCTGGGTTGGTTTTCTTGCTCCTGAAATGAACCAGTTAATTGCAAATGTGTTCACTGTAATTAGATAGGCATTTAGTCACCATTTAAGTAGTTTAGTTAAGTCTCATTTAAGTTAGTAATTCAAATTCAGGGTAGTGTTAATCTCTAGGCGGACACAAGCTGTCCTTACAGAGGGAAGCAAGCCCTGAGCTGATGTTTACAAGATGTATTGCAGAGGTGGGGATGGTGACACAGGAGGGATGGGGACGTTTCTCAACAGCAAGAGCTGGAAACTCAGCTCACAGAAACCAATACCTTCCTGCTCACCTTGTCAGGGGCAGTTCTGCATATGTCAGTGGTGAGTCAAATTAGACTTCTTTCTTGCCCCTGAGTTTAATCATAGCATCGTGATAGTTCCGTAACGTCATCAAGCAGCTCTTCTCTCTTCTGGTTTTCTTATTAGTAAAGAATCCAATCAGCTGCCCTGCAAAACCAGTGATTCACTGCCTCGGTTGAACATGGCTGTTAAGATGCTATATGTTGTAACATTATGACATTCCTTGCATCACAGTTAACAATGGAATAGTAACCACCAGGGCTCATAAGTGTCATAAAAGACAGTATGTGTCCACTGTCCGCTGGCAGAGTTTGTGCTAGAGGTAGATACAACTTGTGCCTGACTGGTCCTTGTTCTGATACGCATCCTGGATTTCCTTCCCACAAAAGCCACTTACTTGTTCTGCTTTTTGTGCACGAGCAGCGTGCCTTCCTGACATCCCAGGTTGTGTGACACAGCAGGGCATTGCATCACTGGCCTTCAGGAAACCACTCGTGGCAGAATTGTGCCTTAGTGGCTCTATCTTATTTACAGACTGCTTTCTGTACAGCCATTATTGGGCCACGTTTCCATAAATTAAAATGATAAAAATGATTTAAAAAAAAAAAAAAGCTGTTAAAAATGCAATTGCAAATTATTTCAGAAGCAATGTTGCAGAACGATAACGGTGTGGGTGTTGCATAAGCTTATTGGCTTCTGAGTATAACTGAATGGTGACTTGGTTAGTTCTCAGTGGCATAGGAGACATAAAAAATCAGTTCTTACTCAATGGTGACAATCACCCCTCAAGATGTAGATTTTTAGTTTGCTTGTCTGTTTCAAACTGCAATGTTGTGTGCTCTTGTTTCTTCATCTGAGTAGCAAAGAAGCTGGGACTTAAAGGCAAGGGGGAGGAAAGTTTAAAACATAAGGAGATTTCTCTTTCCTTTGACCCCTGTAGCTTTAGGAGGATCAATATTAAGATAGAGCATATTTTAGCGTCAACGTTTTTGAAAGAGCTTTCTGAATAGAAAGGTTGCATTATAATCATGAAAGATGAGAGATCTGAAGAAACAAAAAATAAATCTGACTTAATAGTCTTCTCTTATTTGACCACAAAAAAGACCAAGGAATGACACTGTCTAGAATTATGTTCTATTGGATGAGACTAACTGAGCTTTTCACTGTTTCGGGGGTGCTTTGGGGCAAAGTGTTCTAGGAACAATGACTAGAAAGAGAGAAATGCAAGCTGTATACTTGTTCTCTTTTCAGGCCTTGTTCCCTTTAACATTGCTGGTGGTCTTTCCCTTCAGTTCCCTTCTTTAAATGCTTTTATCATAAGATTCCATAGCTTACAGTTGTGTAACTGGACTGCAGCTGAAAAAAACTTTCCTGATTGTGTATTTGTCCCTTGCACTTTGTGTTACCTCTGGTGTTCCTGTAATTGGTATGACTGGATGAGCTTGCAGTTGCATATGGCAGTTAACCTTACCGTAGTGTGGGGTAGTTTTTGGTTAGATATCTGAGCTGATTTGGCTTTGTTCCCTAGCTGAATAATTACCAGGCTCACAGGAGGGAAGCCTAAGCTCACCCTGGTGGTACAATTGCTAATCAAATCTCTTGGCAGTGGTTTGAAGGGAAGCAATTGGGCTGTTTTCCCTGCTCGTGCAGCAGTGCCCCGTAACCATTCATGGAGTCAGGCTTATAGGAATTTGCCTGTTTGGTGTTTTTTCTTCCCCATTATTTTTTTTGTTTCCTATCAGTTGAGCTCCCTGAAACTCTGGTATTGCAGGGGTACAGAAGTGATGGCAGCATTGTGGTGTATCACTAGCATTAGGGCTTTCTTGAGCGATGTGCAAAGCAAAGGCCCTGGCTGATGGTAAGTGCAAAGAATATTGCAGTGCAGTGGGCCTTGTAGTCCTGACCAGGTTCTACTGCGCTGATATCTGAACTAAATTAAGGTACTGGCTTTAATTGTCGTGTTGTCAAAAGCAGTGGTTGGAGGTATTAGCAGCTGCTGCTGGAGAAATGTAATTTTTCTGGAAGCTTTCTGGCAGCAGAGGTTTTTCTCATTGTACAATCTTGCCAATGTTCCCTGTAGTTTTTTTGTTTTTTTTTTTTCCAAACAAGAATGCAAAACTTGGAGTTTATGACTCAGAATTTGACTTCTGGATTGCTGGCTTAAGTGTAATTGAGTGGTTTCAAGTTTGGTGCAGTGAGAATTTCTGAAGTAGGGTGAGTCCAAAAAAACCATCTTTTTATTTCCTTATTTCTTTCCCTGCCTCTGGAAGAACAAAAGCTTCCTAATTGCAGTTAGTAAAGGTATACTAATAAACCAAGAGGTTCAAGATTAAATTAACTTCCTGTTGGAAGGCATTGCCAGATGGTGTGAAATTAAGGTCAGAGTAATCTCTTGATCACAGGCAAAGGGGAGACATTCTGTTGCCTTCTTTTTTAATTCTTTTAGCGTGTATTTCAGTGAGAGCTTTCAGGAAGGAGTAGCTTTCACACTGCTGCAGCACTATTTACTGGAGCTCACGGTCATCTCTACTCTTTAGCTCTGCCAAGTATTGACTTCGGTGCTCTGATCTGCAATTCTGTGGATGTCTGCAAACCTGCAAGAGCAGCAGAAGGATCCTGCAGTTTGTAAGTAACAGCAGGCAGCGCTTTAAGAGACTGGGGCCAAAGCTAGAGGATGTGGTTGCCTGGTCCTTCTTTATATGTTGTGAGGTCGAGGACTTTGAACATAGGGGAACCTCCTTTTAAATCAGGTAAAGGAAGAATGTCTTAAAATGCTACAAGTACTAAACAATGCTCCAGAATAGGTCCTAGAAGGGATCTATTAGATTCCAGAATAGAAGGGAGGAGAAGGTGGAAATGTTAAGCCCTCATCCTATAAACAGTTGTTCCTTACAAGCAGTTTTAAGTTTAGTTATCAGGCTAGTTTTTCAGCTGGTTGGTGTTTGTGTTTAGGTGTTTAACAGGGCATCCGTAAAAGGTCCTCAAGATTTGTTGTACTCTGAATCCTTGAACAGTTGCAATTTTCAGTAAGTAAATTCAAGATTGTATCATTCATGTGTATCAAGTTAATGCTATGTGAGTGTTAAGGCTTGGTAATGCAGGGAAGGGAAACTGATGTTTTGGTTGTCCAGATGGATGCAAGAATTGATCTTTTGGAGAAGACTTTGAAAGAGATAAGGATACAGCTTCTAAAAAGAAACATCAGTGAGCAGCCTCTGACTCGGTTGTGGAATGGTTCTTCTCTTCCTAGCTTTGTGCCTTTGGCATCCTGCCTGCAAGGCATCCAGTGTCCCCCTTGCTCAAGGTGACTCTTCCAGTGTGTTCAATTCTTTTTCTCTGCAGGTGGTAAAAATGATCCTGGGTTTCTCGTTCTCTTGAATTGTGCTCCTAGTGGTGGATCTTGGCCGTAGTGTGGAATTCCCACACTGAGCATTGCTAATGGTGCAGCATAGTCTCTGTTGGTATACATACTGGGCTGTGTAATGCACAGTCTTCACAGCCAGCTTTGTTACTAATGCCACAAGTTCAGGCAGTTGGGAGGTTGAGAAACCAGCAGATTTGGTGGTGTTGATTACCAGAACAGAGCTATGGCTTTAGTCTGTGCAGTCTTCAGCTTTGTACCTGAAGGAAGCAGGCTGCTGGTGGCCCAAGAGCCATCAGATGGTTTGAAAAATACACATGGTGATAGCTGGGCTGAAAATACGTTCCTTGACATGGAATGAGTGAAAGCAAAACTTTGGGTTTCTAGCTGCTTACTTATAATTACCATTCATCTGTAAGATACCAATTAATATATATAGTAATAATCTGAGAAGTTATCACTGAGGTTTAATGTTATCAGTGTGGGCCATTCTTTGTGTCAGATTGCTTCCCCCAGGGTTGCAGGAGTGTGAGATCTTGAGGACAGCCTTTACTGACAGCCTTTCTTACACAGTAATTAAAAATGGATGCTATCTTCCTGTGGTGTCTCTGCAGCTTAAAAAATAGATGGTTCAGAACTGTGCTGACAGCCTCCCGTGTCTCAAAACTTGTGACATCTGAGCTTTGCACATGGACTGTTTCTCTGAATTGCCATCGTTCTTTAAAATAGCACCCAATTCTTATTTTGATCTCTTAGGTCTCATTAGAGTTCTTTGTATTATAAATACAAAACTCCTTAGGCAGTGTGGAAATAGTTTAAAAAATAAAACCCTCTAAATAGTAGTAATTTAGGAACTTCCTGAAGTTAACATCTTGTTCATGATGAGATACCCTCTTTTGTTAATTTTTCCAAAGTCTGAGACAAAAGGGTCCATTGCTTTCAAAACGCTCAGTTCTCATTGGTCTGGAGTGCTGTTTTGCTGCAGCACAAAAATGCAATAAAGCCTGAAAGATGAGTGACAAGGACATATTTCAGAAAGCTTTAGCTCCAAGTGTCTGTCGTGGTGAAGCCCACAGGCCTTCTGCAAGTCAGAACTTGAGGCATTCGGTATGGAAACCAGCGCAGGGGAAAATAAAAGAATATTCACAAGAACAGATGGCTTCCATATGGGAACAAGTTGCATCCACCATGTAGAAATGTATGGTAAAAGCCCTTCCTCTTAGTTACTTTAAATGAGAATTCCTGGTGTTAACAGAAACACCAAAGGTGACATGCTGTAATTTCTCTCAGGGTTTTGGGGGCACTGCTGTGTGTGAAGGTACTGGAGCATTTCTGCAATGTGAGCTATCTCAGCAGCTCTCCTGCAGCTGCATGCTCAAGAAATTCAAGCAGACGGGCTCGTATTGTTGCACACGTAAGTGCAGGGGGCTGCTATTCCTTGTGTTGTCAACCTTGCAGCTTCCCCATGAGCCAAATGGTCTCAGCTCTGAATTGGAGGCATAGAAGAGAGGTGGGCACAAAGTGCGTGTTTGCAAGTATGTTTTTCTCAGCATCTTTGTTATAACACGGTCAGTCTGGTTGCAGGAGTTCCCTTTCTGTGTTGGGGCAGATGTAATGTGCTCTGGCTGTTGCCACTGCTTTGCCCTGAGATTTGGGGTAGGAGAATGAGGGAATTAATGTTTGCTTTTATAGAGTAAAGCCTATAAATTGCGATCTAGCA